AGAATAAAATTATGACTAGCTATTGCATTTTATATCTATAAATATCATCATTATCACAGTATCTACAGTGCATATAAATAATATCAGAATTCTGTAACTTAAAATATTACACTTGGATACCTAGTATTGATAATTTCCTAATGTATACTCAAACCCTTTTTTCGGCGTACCGCATAATTATTCAAGTAATATGCATGTATTATAATAATATAAATAATTTTAGGTTATTAACGGAACCCACCCCTGACAATAATGAATTCTTTGACAACACGGTCAGCGTGACCATAGTCGATTACTATACACACAGGGCCCGAACCGCAGTTTCATTTGCGCGTCCATCACTCAAGTCATTAATATTTTATTTATCACTGTTATTTTATACATGAACATCATATGACAAACGAACACACATAAACATTGCCTAATATTCTAATGACTTCAAAAGGGTGTGGTTCCACGGTTTCGACATATTATTATTTTTTTTACGCTCTTCCCAAAACGATATTCATTTTTATTACCATAATACGAAAAGTAATAACGATAATTACCGATCATATTTAGAATGACGGGTGTATGTTATACATTTTTTTCGTTGGTTTTTTTTTAATTAATTAAGCTAATACGATTATTTTCTGATACGGAATTGTAACATAATATTTCGGACACGCCCTGTATTTTTATTCCCCAAAAAAAATGTTCAATATTCGAGGTCGATTTAATCTCCAACCGCCACCGCCGCTTCTATACATAGTATATATTACATTTAATAGAGAGTATGAGTATACATATACATATTTTTTTTTTTTAAATTCAACGTTCATTAAACGCAAACTCCGACGGGGTTCGACAGCGGCGCGTGTTCTAAAAATGTGCATAATAAACATCAGTCTTCGAAACGGCACTCGGTATTAAAATAACAATAAAAGGAAGTACGAAAAGAGGAAGGGACAAAGTGGATATATACGACAAGACACTAATGTAGCGTGTAAATTTAAAGACTTTGGTTTTTAGTACGGTAGACGACCAAATGGATCGAAAGCTATGATGATGCGTGAACGCATAAAATAGATTTGCAGTTTATTTTTTCCAAGCCGAATATTACTGATGAGCTAGGGACAATTTGGGTACAATGCAATAATAAGAACAATCGTTCATCACTCGACAATAATATTGTTTTCCAAAATGTTAATATTTTTTCGCCTTATTTCAGGTATTTTAATGAAGCATTAAAAATTATAAACTATAATACTCAATATTATGGATGCAATTTGTAATAGAAATCCCAAAAAAATTGATGTTATGTTATTGCAAAATATTTGCCATTTTATAGATTTGAACGTAATTTATTCAATTGCCTATTAAATGAAAACAATTCATTAAAACATTGGCTAATAAAAAACTAGCCTCAAAATTATACGAGTGTAATTTACTGTATTAAACGCATTCTACTTAACAGTATAAACTACGTAAATGATCGATATTGACATTCTAAAAAAGTTATATTTTCCACCAAATTATTTATTTAGAAATTACAATTTTCATTAGAGGAATAATTGTTTTTAAAATATATTTACCGTGTGACCATATAACAAATTGTAGTCTGTACACCTATTTATAATAATAATTTTATATTTTCGAAGTGTGCTAACTACAAATCATAAGTACGAGGGCACGTCATGGGAAGTAGAGAGGAAATTTGGCTGCGTATACAGACATTGTCGTGAGCCTCTATTGTCAAATCCGCAGTCGTTCCTTCGTGGGACTCCTTTCCTGCGGGGTTTATTAGCATTAATAGAGCCGTTTTGTGCTGGCGGAGAATAAGAACAGGACAGTAATAAATGATAATTCAGACGGTCGCGCGCGTGCAACCGGACGAAGACGTTTCTGCCGACGATTCGTGCCAGCGGTTTACCCTAAAAGGCGGCGGCCGCTAACAGGAAGAGGAAAAGGATGGAATGACGGGCGAAGAGACACCACTATACAGCGACGGTGGACATATACATAATTACACATAATAATATTATATAAGGAACAATCGGGGGCGATAATAGCAATTTATTATTCCATTTTTACTACGCTTCTCCTTTTGCAAGCGTACATACACACCGGCGACAAACAAACTCTCGGCGCAACAACAATAGCTTCAAAAAGATAAACCGCGTCTTTGGTGTTCGTCGTTGTCGTCGCACCGAGGGAAGCTCGGGAAGGTCTGGTTATATTTATGATAATTGTTAAGTAAAACCCCTTAGCCCCGTACATAGCGTATCCCGTCGACACCAGTGTCGAGAGCGGGGGGGGGGTGGGGGAGAAATCTCTTCCCCTTTACCCCGCAATGTCTATACTATCGTTTGTTAACGGTCCGTGTTTATATTGCGCGATTCCGAATAGGAACTTATATTTCATGTCGATTTATGACCACTAAACGGAAACCACGGAAAAACGGCGGAGAAATCAACGCCAAATGGCACTTACTTACTGTGCCTTTGCCGTGAAGAACTCTATATTATATAAACACCACTAACTCCGCGCCGCATAACTCTTCTTTCACCGTTTACACAGGAAGAAAGTCCCCGGTACTTAATTCATAAATTAATGGAAATTATTATTATTGTGCTACACAAATAAGGCGAGTCTCGAGTTTAGCTCGCATTATTAACGGCACAATCACCATGTTTCACCAACACTTGTTAAGTATTTAACCACCAAATACCTAAAAGTTAACGTTTGTGCTAAAGATTAACTATGCATGGTTGAAATACACAGATGCATGTATGTATGAAAACATGATTTACAGGAATTTGATTCTATGAATTATGTTTTTTTTATAGAACAGCTAGTATATGTCGCTGTACAAAGAAAACAAACTATATGATAATATTAAATATGAACACATTAAGAAAGTAACTACGTATGAAATATCAGCCTGTTGAGAAAAATACAATCAAATATTACCTCTCAGTTAAAACCCGCATGTTTATTAAATGGTCCGAAAAATAGCTATATAAGGTACAAATTAAAATTAAATTTTTAAGAAACCAAATTCAAACATTTATTTTGTACTTTTTAGCATATTTTGAAGTTTTTTTTTCATATTTACGTACATTATTTTAATATTTTCGATATTTGCAGCATAAATTCCATTTTTAAATTGTGTTTATTTAAAAGTATCAAGTGTAAGTTAAATACCTATCGAAAATTCCATTCAAATTTATATTATATTCTAAATACATATAAACCAGAAATTATTGAATCTATACACTATCATACACATTTAATTGTAACCGTGTTAGGGGAATAAATTAAAATTAGTTTGCAATCTTGTGTTTTACAAAGGAAAGTTAGTGGTTAAATGTATTTATCAAAATAAAAGATTAGTGAACAGTTAAATAATTTTGTTCGATTAACTGTGAGTATATGGCACAAAAATACAAAACGGAGGTAAAAAAAAGAAGAAAGTTTGCATTTCAACCTACTCGCAGAGCAGATTTCTAAAAATAAATAGCAAAAGAGTATTTATACAATGAAATTATAGTTGTAATTTAAAAATTAGATGAACAATAACAAAATTATTTTAAATAAATGGATTTCTGGTCATGCTGGTATTAATGATAATAAAAAAACATACACTCTATTAAGTCAATAGCTATTAAAATCTAATAGAGTGAATCAAATTAAAAAAATAAGACAAGAGATTTATTGAATGTATTTTATCAGAAAAAATATTTACTCAATATAAATTTCAAGAACGGACAGAAAAAATGTTGTACAAAAATGTGTGTTTACAAAAAAAAGCAGTAAGAAATTTATAAAAAATTACATAGAAAATTTACAACGTTGCATTTAAATTTAAGTCAAATAAAACCCAATAAATCATAAAAACCCAATTATTTCATTTTTACTATTAAGTATGCTTAAAAATATTACTATAATTTATTAGTAAAATCTTGTTAAAAGGTATTTAAAAACAAATTAGATTGAATAATTGATTGTTGATAATATAAGCTATAGGAGTATAAATTTACAAATTATTACTTAAAACATTTATAATTATTATATTTAATATTTACTTTGGAAAGTTTAAATCTGGGAAGAAGTAGTTTAAAAATATGCAGTAGAAAATACTTAACCTTAAACATTTGAATAGGAATAACCAACTAAATTTATTTTACAATAAAATGCCTAAACTGAATTTTCCTCAAGTAAATATGGAATATTAACATAATAACTGATGAAAAAGTTTTCTTATATTATCTAATAGAATACAAATAAACACATTTTCATATAATTTACCAATTATAATGGTATTTTAGTATATTGTAAAGAAAGATAAATAGCATTCATGTTATATTAGTATTTTTACTTAAATATCGTAGATTCTAACCATGTAAACATTATTGCCAATGGTCGATGCCAAATTATAAACAAAAATTATTTTGTTATTACTTCCAGTAACTAATACAAAATTAAGAAAAAGTAGTATGATAAAATTAATTTTGTTACTATGATTTTTATAACTAGTGTTTCATTCACTATACAATATAAAAAAAAATGTAAACCTAAAACAGTAATTAAATTAAATTAAATTTCTACCTTTCCATTAAAGTGTACCGATTAGTATGTATAAATTACACGTACCAGTTACTTGTAACATATTGAAAATTGGTAATGTATAATAGGCAATTTATAATAATATTCTGACAGTAGACTCAAGTTGACTGTTTAGTTTGCTCAAAGGTTTTATGCGGTTTTCGCTATAAAGTGGTGTCAACATTGACCCGACATGCAATCACGGTTGTGTGGACCCAACTTGATACCACACAATAAGTAAACTAAAGTAAATAGATTAACATACACGCATTGTAGAGAAGTATCTAACAAATCCATGAGTAGGTTAATAAACTGTATTAGATGATTGAATTACAATGTACGATTGATAACCGAAGTGAATGCATTGTGGAATTAATGTTATACAAACAAAAAATATGTCTCTTACGACTTACCTTATACAAAGGATTTTTTTCGTGAACAGTGGACAAAAGTATTGAATACAAGCAGCATTCTTCCGAGTTCCACACGTACAATAATTGATCCTTGTAAGCTATCAAATTTTGAATCGAGTCTGATCCGTTTTTCTCCAACTGTTTCTTTAATGTTTGGAATATTTCAAGTTTGTTCAAATTTAATATGTCTGTAACGGACGTCATCTTCAGGTTTCGATTAAAAACAAGTAAAACAAATTAATAGTAAATTGTAAAATAAATTGCAAACAATAATTATTCAAAAACAACATGAACGGAAAATCTGAAATCAAGATTTTCATTTTTATCACGCGGTAAACCAAGCCGGGAAGCGATAAGCCCATCTCATACAGTGTGACCACTCACTCCAGTACAATAATTCGTTAAAAAAGGCGGGATTTTCTTTTCAAAAAATATGTTTTTATCAAGTTAATGAATTGGTATGAATAGAATAAAGAATATTATGTACAACTTAAATTGATGGAAAAAACAAACTACTTGTCAAACGGATTACCTACGGGACACGGTAATAAAATACAATTTTATAGCTACATAAGATATAATAATATGATTGTATAGCATAACTTAGGTGTTGTATAAAATGAATAGTTACTAGTATTATTGTTCATGAAATAATATTATAATTTCTCGGTAATATAATGCATCATTATGCTAGCTTTAACAATTTATTTATATTCACGACAAATTACTTAATAACTACGAAGTTATAAAAATAATATTTATTTGAATAAATTATTTAAAAATGATTCCAATAATTTATTAGTTAAAATATATTATTTATAAAAAGTGACCAACCAATTTTGTAGGTTACTTAACTATTTAAGTTTTATTATATTTAATATTGTCTATAACACATGTAACATTGTCAACTAAAATTCAGTGGACGTTACACAAATCATTTTCCAATGTAAAAACTTGACTACATTCAAGTTTTACTTGCTTAATAGTGGATTTAGATGTAATAGCAAAAACATTTCATGTAATATATTAAGAAAAATACTGAAAATACTAAAAAACAAATATAACAATCCCTCCAACATATGTCATCATCTTTGAATTTCTTAATGTGTGTATTTGCTTTGAAACCATCATGGCCCGAGTAAAGTGCATTATACGTAATGTTTATGACGTCTTGGTTTGATCGTCGATCGGGTAGGTACTATTTTTTATGTTGATCATCACCGAACATTATACGGCACACATTCACCGATTAATAGGTCTCTCACCATCTGTAATTCTATTAAATTTGATTTATTTTTTGATAATATAAACAAAATTAAAAAATCCACCCTTACTTTCTCTTAATTTATTTGTTATTTTTACATATCGTTTGCATGTAAACCTCAATTTTTACTGTTTTTTTAAGTTATAATTTGTACTGATACTCTAAGCTTTCGGGCGTTTATGAAAGAATAAATTAATTTTAATCAATTGTGATTGGTGGTATAACTCGACTGACTAGGATTAAATCAGAAAAGACACGGACAGGGCCTTTTATCTTTGATAAAATGTTGTATATACATCACGCTTGCTATTTTAACATTTAATATACTAGATGATTTCTCTTGGGTCACCGGGGTCGCGATATACAGTATAGATACCGGATAGCTGTACGCGGGATTGTCTAAATGGTCATTTGTTGTTTTCCGTTTCAGACACAGAACGGGGGCGGCAGTAAAAATTATAAAGGAAAGATGACGGAAGAAGAGGTGGTGGTGGTGGTGGATGGGGTGGACGAGAAGGTAAAATTCCGGTCACGTACTCGAAAAACACAAACATATAATAACGTGTGTGTATGTGTATAATATGGACGCGAACACAGGCACCCTCGAATTAAGAACTATGGTTGAGGGAGGGGGGAGGGGGGGAGATGGAGTTTTGGGGTAAAAGGTATACAACGAAGAAGGGGCGGTCGTACAAGCTCATTACACAAAACGGTCGCACGACACACTGTAATATATAATATACAGTGTCCGGTGAATCCTTGCCGAACAATGGCGCGGGGGAATTGCGTACCCTGGCCCGGACACACACGGTTTCTTCTTAAATTAATAAGGACCCGGCAAATATGGTGTGTGTGTGTGTGTGTTTGTACCAATATACGTGTACGGTGTCGGGCATGATATATACATATTATTCGCCGTATAGATGTGTGTAAACAAGAAACCGATTAAGGACGTTGTGAAATTTTAATCGGCGTCCATTATATACTCGATGAACGTGGCCCGCGGCGTGTACAACAACATCTCCGGTCGGCCGTGTTGCGGCTAAACGTACATTACATATTATATATAGCATGTACAGATTAGCAGTACAAAATATGTTTGTTCAAAAGGAGGGTCGTATCATGAGCGTTTTGAATTATTAAGGAGTCGAAGAAAAAAAAAAAATTGTTTTCGAGATAATAGAGTCGAGAAATGAAAATTGAAAAGAAAAAAATCCCGAGCACCATCTCCACCGCGCCGCGCTGTTATTGAACAACGATCTAAGTGTTGTTCAATTATTAATACGCCATATAAGTCGCGCAGACTCTATATCTATATATGTACCATATCATTATTTTCCCTCCGCGACTTGTGCATACGGGTGTGCGATTTTGTGTGTATAGGTCTATGTGTATGTGTTTTCATGTTTCTTTAGTGTTCCCCCGGGGTTTGGGCTCTGTAGGTAGGTGCTTGTATATATTTTTTTATTGGAAAGAAAAATGCAAAAGGGGCACTGTTTCAATACACGCTGTGTAGCGGTTCTGTTATGACTTCTGTCACTTGAGCGCTGTATAAGACGATTTTATTGTATATTAACGATAAATATGTTATAGAATTTATAAAGTAAATAAATACTGTTGGAATCCAGAACTCTCGACAGTTGAGAATTTTAATTTTAATACTTAAGGGAATAATAACTTATTTATTTTTCCAGGATTACACATACTAGAATTTTTAGATACCCGAACGGCAAAATGCTATACATACTTTGCCCGAGTGCCCTTTATATTTCTCTCGTCCTAATGAATAGGCTACACTGTGTAACAACGGATTTTCTAGGAATGAAGTAACGCAAATTAATATTTTACTACTGAGACCGTCAGGAGTATTTTACTCCTCCTTCAATAGAGTTAATGCTAAGGAACAACACATATTAATACATAAGCGGTTTTTTTACATTATCATTATTATTATTATAACAAAAAAAACATACTCTATAATTATTCACACATAATAAGAGGGAGTGAGAGAAGACAGTTAAATAGTTTATCACTCGTTTTTATAAATAATTCGCAATTCTTTACAATGTTCAATGTGTAGTAATATATTATGTATATGTACATATAAGTAGTACATTTTAATTTATATGTTATAATTATTATATATTTAATTTAATATGAAAATTATTGGAATTAAATTTTTTTCAGAGTATTTAACTTACATCACTGATGAACAAAAGCTCTTAATAAATTTAACAGAACATACAACATATTTATTAGTTACATAATATCAAAGTGTGAAAAGTGACTGATCAGTGGTCCAAGACATTATAGTAAGTCGTTAAAATTCAAAAGTATTTTTCGTTAGATCTCACATTAGTAATACATTTTGAAACCGATTTCAATAACCAAACTGATTAATTTTTGTATGACAATAATTAATAGAAGACAAATTGTAAAAATTAAACGTAAAACTTTTAATTTTTGTTTTGTTTCGTTTTTTTTTTTTAATTGATTTATTCTCCATATTTGTACAGTATTCTATGCACACGTCGTTTTATGTGTAACACGATTATGTAGATATTCGGTGAAGTGATACAAAGACGACGTCATGGGGCTACCGAATAAATCGTTTGCCATATTTAATTTAATTTACATACAGAAGTCCTGTAGCAAAACGTCAAAAACCGAAAACGGCGGGCGTATATAATTAAGACACTGTGTCCGGAGGTCGCGGAGGGCGTCGTCTTAAGCCGCGGATATAGACTTCCGTTTGAACGCGGTCGTGTCCTCTCTCGCTAGACTTCCGGTGCGATGTACACGAGAGGAGGAGACGAGACAGAGGAGGGAAGGGAGGGGCGCAAGGCTCTTAAACGCACACCCGGGCCAAGTTTTGCATTCGCCGAACATTAACCCGGCATTCTTGTACGGGACACACGCACACATATACACTATACGGAACCGTTTACAAAAGTATGTGTGTGCTTATTAATAGGTGAATACACGAACATTATATTAATACAAGCACCCCGCGGTCTAAAAGCTATCGGCAGTCGTTTTTGCCGACACCGAATCTCGAGTCCAAAAAGGGGGACATTGGCAATTTATGGCCTTCGATGCCGTTGAATGAAATGGGCGTCAGGTTCCCTATAATATAATACACCGTCGCCTTTACAACACGACTCCACCACACCAGTTAACCATAGACCGACCGATTATTATTGTCGTGTCTTGTATAACCGTTCACTATATAAAGTTCATTTCAATCGATTTGACTAAATCAGACTTAACAACATGTGCACACACCGCTGCGTTCGACTGCTGTATTAGAATAAAGTATACGATGACGACATGTACAGCTGTGAATAAGGCACTATATAGTATTAATGTAATCATTTTCTGAAAATACTGCTCACACTCTATTTTCTTTGAAGCGATAATGGGTATTATTTTAATGTTAACCAATTCCGTTATGACCTCAAAATCGTAATCTTAGGATTCAAAAAATTGTTACTCACGTTTCAACAATAACTGGTAAAAGTCTTAAATAGAGTTTTAAAAATCAGTTTATAGACGTTTTTCCGATAATAACAGCTCTTAAATTTTAGGTCCTACGTAATATTACAATGTATTATTATTATTATGTATAATATAATATGTAAATAAATATTAGCTAAGTATACACAATACGTACGACAGGATGAAATGAAACCACGTCAAAATCGTAATGCTTTCTGTAAGAAAACGAGGCGGAAACAAAATGATAGCGAGGGGGTTGGCAATCGTTACGTATGCTATATGTAGCTCGTACATGTATATAACATACGTCATAATATTATGCCATGTGTATGTATATTATATTGTCTCGTTCCGTATACACCAGGATTTGATATCCATCAAATGTTCCGTCCTGTCAAAAGAAAAAGCGGGAAAACGTTTTTCTACAATAAACAAAAAAAAAAAAAAAACGATGAGGGGGTATGAGTTGAACCGGAGACACACACGAGAAAAAGAAATGTCAAAGCTTACAAACACATAATGCTAATATCGTTTGTCTTGAATA